CAAAAAAGAGAGGAACACAGGGTGAACGTGGGGTAGGAGGCACTTGAGTGGACAAGTTGAGTGTCAGGCGGAACAGGAAGCCGACGGGAAGAGGCTGTTGGAAGGCCAATGGAAGTGGGCGGAGCCACAGCGGGGGGTCCCGTGATGCAGAAGAGGGGGGTGAAAGAGAGCCGTCGGAAGGCGGAACTTGGCGATGGGGAGAAAACCGCCAATGTTACGGCGGGGATGAGATTGTAGGCTTCGGTGCGAGACCAGGCCCGGGTGTGGGTCCGCTGCGAATGGATTTTGCAAGGAGATCGGAGAAGGAGTCCGAGAGGTTGGAAGGAGCGGTGTATTTGGCAGAGAGGCCGTGAAGTTGGGAATCCTGGAGGGTGGAGCGGAAGCGGGAAGCGGCGATAGCCGAGGTGGAGTCGGATTGCATGATAGCAGGATCATTCAGGAGTTGGAGCGGGGAGGATGGAAGGAGGAAGATCTTGGTTGTGGACGAGCCGGGGCCCGAGGAGACCCTGAAGAAGAAGGGGCTGGGCGATGGCGGCCGTCGGAGAAAGAAGGGGATCGTTGTCGGTCATGGGAAGAGAGACGGAAGAAAGGGGCGCGACAAAGATGAAGAAGCAAAGGCGAACGGGACGAGATGTCGGATAGCGATGAGGCAAGGCAGGAAACGAAGGCTTTGTACATCAACTGTTGTTGGTGTACAAAGACAAGAGAATAAGCACTTGGTGCTTGTTATCTTGTTGGTGCCAGCTCATCCAATGCCAATGCTGGGTGAGCAGGCACCACCTACAGTTACCTGCCGGTCATGCTGGCTTTAAGGTTGTGGACCCTCATTTGCTCTGCTACTGGTGCTTCACTATGACTGGAGTTAGTCTCTGCCGGAACTAACTAAATCCAAAATGATGCAGTATATATAAAAACTGCGTGAACAGAACGGATCCAAAAAATAGAGCTTGGAAAGGTGTTTTGTGACACTAGCCTCGCGTCTCTTTTTGCTTTTCCTCGCATTCTTCAGAGTTAAGTTACTTACATACACCGCAATCTGGATTGCCTTCTATTTCAAAACGGTGCTGTATTGGAAGCAGCCAATTTCGCTCCCAAGACGCACAGGCAGGTTGGCAAAGCTTTCAGTTGAATTTTTTCCCCAAGAATCACCCGGCATGGTGCGTACCGTAGGGGGGTAGTATCACTTGCCCGCGATGATTGCAGCAGCCACTGCTATAGTGCTACCTGCTTCCGACGGCAAGAACACTCCAATAGACAAGGACGCATGTCCACTTTTAGCTACTACTACTAGATCAAGGAGTGCTGTCTTGCTACATTCATTATCATTCTACTCGTGGCAGACTTGAACTTGATGCGTTTGATAACCCAAGCTTCGGGGGAATGATGAATCGAATCAGGCTAGTAAGAACTACATGTACCAGTGCTGGTACGGCTGTACCACGGTACCAGGTACCAGAATCCGGTACCAGTCCCCGCTATCGCACCTCTCTTTCTCTCTTTCTTTTTTTAATTAATTTGTCGATCCAACAACTCCCGCGGACCTAAAGGCTAGCCCCAATGACAGAATCTTCTTGGTGTCGGTACCGTATGATACGATCTGGCTCGCTAAGTAACTTATCCAACTAACTGAAGCCACAACCAAATGAGAAAATAGTCGCCTGTGCAGCCAGTATCAGTTGGAGCGCTAGCTCCTGGTGCGACCAGGTACTAAACTATACTAGCTAGTACGTCAACGAGAAAAGACCAGGGAGTCTTGACCAATGAGCTTCCTACCGGTACCGGTACTGTAGATATTGATCGCCGCGGATGCAACACATTCCCGAGGTACCGGTGGTACCATATGGTACCGCACAATCGATGTCCATCGCAAAACCATAAATTTCTCGTTGCGGCTGGAAAATGTGAGGCTGGGGGCACGATTGAAGCCTTTTCAGTTGAAGCTTATACGGCACATTCATCTTACAAAAGATACCTATGATACCGATTCCGTTCATGATCTCGACATAGCAACTTACATGTGAGAAGACATTGTTGGCACCGTAGTTGGCATGTTTCAGAATTATGCTGCACTTCTCTGATTCTTCTGCTCACAAAAGTACTTAGAGCCGGAAGCTTCTTGACATGCGTACCGGTACAGCAGAGTCATTGAGAAAGGAAGCGATGTACAGCATGTCACTCCAGTCTCATTTTTCTCTGAAAAAAAACGGCGACCATTAACATTCCCTCACAATTGCTTGTTGGGAGACCCTTTGATAGATCAGATATCCAAGATAAAGAAGATGATGAAGCTCACGGGGCTCTTTCTGAGCGCCTTGCTGGTTGGCTCCTCCTCGGCAACGGAGAAGTCGCTACTGCTAGAACAGGGTCGTCAGCTGACCGACGAGTGCGACATGTACGGGTACGGTTGTCCGCCCGATAAATGGTGTGATGTCGATGAGCTCAAATGCTACCGCAAGCGTAACCCTGGTGAACGGTGCAACCGAGACGAAAAGTGTTTGAGTGAGAACTGGTAAGGCTATCTCACTGAACTGAAGCTCGTGTGAGACGAATCTTGCCTCGTCGTTTGTCGTTTGCCAACAACCTCACTATTGGTCTCATTATACGTAGTGTTCACAATGCCTGCCGCGTAAGTCTACCGTAGGAAACCCGAGAATGCCATTCCACTCTTTCCATTCTCACTCCGATTCCTTGGTTTCTCTACGGTATCAGGGCACGGCTGACCCATGCCTTCTTATCGATTGTCCATGGGGCACGTACTGCGACAATGGTCAATGCGTCGATGATCTCTGCAACCACGACCATGATTGCCCTCAAAATGAGTATTGTAGGAATAACGGACAATGTGTCAGGTAAGCTTAAGTGAAGATATGTGTAATCCAATGATGCGAGAGTTCCAACTTTCCTCACACCTTGCAAAACCTAAAGGTGCTTCCTGGACACTCACTGTGCCAGCAACAGCATCAACAAGTTCTGCAAGAGCTACGAATGTGTTGGTTGTAGGTACGATAGCCATTGTTTGCAAGGAGAGAAATGCATGGATCTTCAATGGTGAGTACAGACGATCAAGTATGCTTCGTTTCCTAGAGGAGCTGAACCACAGCAGCAACCTCATGCTGATTGCTTCTATTGCTTGCAGTGTCAATGAGGGCATGTGCTACGGTGATGACGATTGCTTTAATAACTGGTACTGTAACAACCAGGGGCAGGTACGTGAATGAATAGTATGTGGACCAATCCGTGCTCTGGTGCCTTTGCTGCTATGAGATCTCACTCCTTCACTCCTCTGTGACTCCAGTGTGTGGAATGCTATCGAGACAACCAATGCAACCAAAATCAAAAGTGCGAGGACAATTACTGCGTGGATATTGCACACTGCTACAGCGACAACGAATGTCAAAATGGCTGGCACTGCAACAGCCATGGATACTGCGTGGAGTGTTGGCTTGATAACCAATGCGGGCAAAATGAGGTCTGGTAAGTTGCAATCGGGCTCATCGCAACTCTGTCATGATATTATTCCGCTTCATCCCTCATGCTGTTTCCTGCAAACTTCTTTCTTTAGTGTGAACGACCAGTGCATTGTCCATGTCGAATGCGTCAATGACAACGACTGCAACCACAATGAATACTGCACTTCTGACAACGAATGCGAGCCAAAGTGTTACCACAGCCATGATTGTGCGCATGGATACTGGTGCGACCTGTACATTCATCAGTGTGTAGCCTTGCTCCAGAATGGTGCGATCTGCGATTATCACGACGAATGCGAAAGTGGTTGGTGCAGGCCAAGGAACAACCATCCAGATATCTGCCGAGCCAAGAAGAACAACGGTGCTTCCTGTAATGACGACGTGGAATGTCAATCAGACTTTTGCTACAATGGAAACTGTCGAAGCAACCTGCCCGTTGGAGATACCTGTGACTATCATCACGAATGCGACAGTGGCCTCAATTGTTTGTGTACCACTTGGACGTGTGGTTATCTCAAGCCTGCCGGTGCTTCCTGCGATGACAATTGTGAATGCGCCAGTGATTGGTGCAACAACTTTTATTGTCGAAACAGAAAGGGTCTAGGTGAGACTTGCAATGGTGATTGGCAATGTGAATCCGGCTCTTGCGACAATTATGACTGTGGTTATTGGTTCATGACCTATCACTGCGGATCCGATACATGTGTTCCTGTGATGGGCAACATTGGTGATTATTGTACGCAAGACTACCAGTGCAAATCGGATCGCTGCCGCCAACATGCATGTCGCAGTAGCCCTGGTGGTGGGCAGCATGATTGGTGATTACTGAACGCAAGATTGTCAGTGCGAATCGGATCGCTGCGGGCAACGTGCGTGTCGCACTACCGGTAGCTCTGGTCATTGGCAGCCCTGGTCATTGAACACAATAGAAGTTGAAGGCTTTGGTTTGCAATTTGTTTTATGGGTGAATTCATGATATTGGAAGTTCTGAAAGGCATTGGTAGTGGGTCACATGTTGGTAACTGCATAGACGCGTTCTTGTCATTGGTTTTTTGCGATTAGCGTACCACATGGTTGGGTAGAGTGCGACTCTTAGAAGGAGGTCCAACGAAGCCCCAACGATCGCCAGCGCTTGCAAGGGCGGTCCTGGTGCTTCTGAGCCGAAGTTCTACCAACTGCAAGCCCGTGAATTATGATTATCATTCAGTCACTTTTGTTCACAATTCCCTCTGCGAAACATCGACGAATGTCGTCGAAGTGCTCCAGTGCCTGTTCCTTGCCCCCAGGCCAACCACTTGACTCGCTCCAAAACCCTAGCAGCCCTTGATGTACACTTGATCTCTCGTACTAGCTTGAAGAGAACTTCACGCATTGTCGTTTCAACAGAGAACTGAACGTCACTCCGTTCCACTTCGGCGGCAGAGTACAAGCTATTCCTGGCGTCCTCCGTATTTCCCTGCAAATAGCTGCAATGGCAATTCATGAGGAGTGCATGAAACCGAGTTTCCTTCTCTTCAGTGTTCCTTGCTTGGGTGTTTCCAGTTTCAAGAATTTCCTTATACATCTCTTGCGCTGTATGGGTTTGACCCTCTCTGAAGGCAATGCCCGCCGTTTGGAGTGACGTTGGGTCGTTACAGCCTCTATACCCCTCAAGAACGGCAACACGAACAGTGAGCGCTGGGAGATATCAAGAGCAAGACAAAACTAGGTCAGCTTCGCAGGAACAATTTGGTTTTTGCGGCAAAGTCGTAGTAGCATACCCTCTCGATAGAACTTTATCGCTTCATCTGATTGGCCCATTAAGCTGTACTGATCACCAAGAACCACGAGCCACTCTTCATAGTAACCTATTGCAACCGCGTAGTTCGTCTTAGACAGAAACAAGCTAAACAGGTGCTTGAGTGTGGTTGCGAGTTTGAGCCTATCTTGCCGATATCTTCGGATCCGTCGTGCTTTCTGAAGGTTGCACAGTGCGTCATCTAGGTCTCCCATTTTGATTTGTACACTTCCTATCGTCTCCAATACGTCGGCAACTTCTGCATCATTGGATCTGGAGTGAAGCTTTTTGATCTTGAGAGCTTCGTTGAAGAAGTCAAAAGCTTGGCAGTGCAAGCCTTGATTGGAAATGGCGCTTGCCATTTTGAAGTAGATGCTTCCCACAACAGCGTGTGTGGGTCCCATCAGGCTCTGGTACTGTGCCAGTGCTTCAAAGCAGCAATCCTTGGCTTCTTTGTGGCACCCCTCTTCGTTGAATAAATCCCCCTGTTCCTCCAGGATTCTGGCAATGGCGGGGTGTTTTGGTCCGTGAATAGCCTGTCGGATTTCCAGAGCCTTTGCCAAGAATTCCTTGACGGTGACGCTTTGGCCAATGGATCTTGCCAACTGAGCAATTGTCTCGACTTGGACAGCCATTTCTTCGCAATCTGGGGGAATATCATCTGCTAATTGCTCCATAGCTTTCAGTTGGCGCTGGAGCTTTGCAACCAATCGATCCATGCGCTGGTTGTATTCTACAGTCCCGTCAATCTGATCCCGATCCTTGTGCAACTCTTGGATCTGCAACTCATCCAGGAGTTGTCTGGTGTGCAAATCCTTCAGTAGCTCGGGCAAGTTGGTGTGTGCCCTGGAGTCATCTTGGAATGAACCATCCATCATGGATGTTGCGGTTGCGCTGCTGGTAGTTTCAGCAGAAGCAGTCCCATTCCCATCAGTGGTGCTACTTGAGGCACTTCCCACAGTCTTTGATGCGGCACAAACGCTGAATCCAGTGGGCTCATGATATGGAAACAGCGTGGGCCACATCCGGTCTATGGGAAACTTGTGGTACGGTTTTGTTGACTGCGATTCGTTCCCTGTGCCTTCGCTGGCCTCTTCGTCTCCCCACTCAATAAACGCTCTGTCCACAGTCAGCGTCTGATGTATCGAAACGCTCATCTCTTGGCTCCGGTGGACTGTCGCCCGCTTGATTGTTGCGGAGAGGGGGAGAGAGGAGAGGCAGCACCTCGCTGCGCCTTGCTATGGCTGGGTTGTGCGAAACACAACTAGAAAGCCATGGCCACGACTGAGCGTGGCATCAGGATTGAAGGATGCCCGTTCAGACGTCGCTACTTGGCCTTCCTTTTACAGCTTCGCTTCCGAAGTTCGGTTCGCAAAGATTTTGGCATTTGGGCCCCAGGCCCAGGCTTGTTCACAGGCAAGGACTAAAAAGCGCAAGAGAGAATGGCAGAGGACATCAAGAAAGAGTCGAGAAAAAGCTTGTCCAAGGTGCTTTTTGGTGACGATGACAGCGCCGATGACAGCAAAGATGATGATATTTGCAGGTCGGAATTTTACGAGGCCAGAACTGATGCGCTGGAGGAGGACGGTGAGGTGCCTCCGCTCCCAAAGCGCCTTGGACATTAGATTGACAAGAAGGCAAAGGCGGTATACGACTGCATGGCTGACGAAATACTGTTTGTGGGGTCCAGTGATGATGATATGGATGCAGGGCAATTCAAAGTAAAATCCGACAAGGAAGGAAAGCAGCTGGCAAGTGGGCAGTCCGGCAGTCCAGCGACGAGTGACTCGAGTCTATGACCCTCACAGTCCCGTAGAATCATCGATTTTCTGGTACTCAGAAATCTCCTACGCGCGATCTGCGTGCACCTGGTACATTTTCTGACAGCCAGAAAACAACGGCCGCCTGACAACCAAACTCAACAAGAAGCAAGGACCATGCCATGACAGTCAAGATGGCAACAGAGCTCTATTATCATGTTACCCCAGAGGTGCTGAGGACCTGGGTATCCCTTCTATACCCACTTACTGACAAACGCCCTGAAAAAGATTGAAGATGTTAGCAGTGAAATCAAGAGAACAAAGCAGTTGAAGCAGCAGAATGAGGATGGCGACACTCACCCAAAAAGAGGATATCCTCGTGTTGTGGTTGACACCTTGGCTCCTCCCCATAAGAGATTGGATGGAAAGTTCCTTTTGGTATCAAGGAAACGCATCCCCCAATCTCTTTAAGACATTTCAAAGGCAGCAGCTGAGAGTTTGTAGAAGCTTTTTTCAGCAAAAGGATCCTCATTTCGCCTCTCCATCTCATGTTCCTTGAGGCGTCGCCTCTTTTCAGTGTAGTTCTTGAGAGCTTTGATGTCCTCGGCAGTAAAACCTCTGAATAGCAACTCTTGTTCCAAATCCTTTGTGTGTAGTCGGGCTCTTAGACTTCCATATGCAATTTAATCTAATGCTGCTGCTGTTCGGTCCACCCCATTTCTTTTCTGTATTGCGTTGAAGGGCTTGTTGACGTTGACCTGCTGTAGGATCGCATCCTTTAGCTTCTGAATCCTCTGAGGCTTGAAGTGTTCTTTGGTGAGGGCCTTTTCAATGGAGTCGAAGACGTCTTGGTAGTCGCCCATCTCTTGAAGTTGTTCTTGCACTTGTACATGTCGTTGGGCACTCTTGAGCAGGCCCTCAATGCGACCGGTAGATCCAATACTCTTCAGTTTGCCAATACTGTGGACACTTGCCGACCTATTAATGGCATATGCACTCCTTAGTTGTTCTGAACGGTCAGTTGCAGAAACCAACTTCGCTTCTTTCACCCCTGCTTCGACAAACTGTGTGTGAGAGGCGAGAGGGAGGTAAGTGCAATAGAGCCAGTTTGCGTATGCATTGAAGGTGTCCTTGTCGCGAAAATCCACGTCCCCCTCTAAAAGCACTTCAGCAGCTTGTTGCGCCATTGGTTGATAGGTAGCCTCATTAGATACAACTTTCAGAAGAAACTGGTGGAAGGAAGGAACATTGAATGTTCTGTCGTGGGCCTCAGAGTAGAATTCTGCCGGACAATTCTCAAGATCTTTCTTCAAGATTATACTGGCAACCACAAGTGAGAGCGGCTGTTCAGATAGTAGGGCAGCAGGTAGGAGAGACGTATTGCAGCACCGCTTGAAGTGCTTATGTACCATGTCAATGGACAACTGAATGAACTTCTTGCACTTGCTCTCCTGCAGAGAACGATCCGGACAAGTCCCAAGTGTTTTCTGAAACTGGCTGTAGTCAGGATGGTTGGTGAGAAAAGAAGCTTGTGTTCTCTCCAAGTCTTGTATCATCAAATAGTATCGCCCTACTGTGTTGTGCGTTTGGAAGCCAGGTAGCTCGGACAAATCAATAGACTCTTGGATCCAATCGAAGTGGGGGCACAGATAGGAAGAGTGGAAGTTGTGCAGTAGCGCCAAGTCGCTAAAGATTTCTCCTTCCACCATAAGCGGTTGGAGCCCAGAGGCGATCTTGTTTATTTTGTTGCTGCTGTTGCTGTTGATGACCGTCTGTGTAATGCGTAGCAATAAGAGATAGTTCAGCCAGCACGCACGAGCTCCTTCACCAACTGTCCACCACCTCGTGAGCACTGGTGCTTGTATCTTCAAAGTCAATCTCTTCACAACATGATCCTCAACTGCACAAGGTTGCAATGAGCGAGCTTTGGCCCAACAGGCGGCGAAGTCATTGTCTGCTTCTGTTTCTGCAACGTAGTCTTTATCTTGGTACTCCTTGACAAATTCATAAGCAGAAAGAACTTGCGTCTTCCATATCTCTCGCTCCATTGATTCTTGCAAATCATAAATAGAATGTAGAAGCTGCATGACATTCTTCCTCTCCAGTTTTCCATCTCCAAGATAGTCGTGCACGGGACGGGACAGAGAAAGCTGAATGTTGTGTAGAGAACAGCTGTTGACTGAGTAGAAGCAACGACACAAGCCGTGGTTGTCTCTAAGTGCATCATGCAATCCGTCTATTGTACCCCCACCACCGCTATCTGTGGTACATCCATCGAGCTTCTTCAATCCAACCTTCTTAAGTGAAAAGGCAATGGCCTCTGCACACTCCTCTGTCTTTCCTTCTGATGCGTCGATGTCTAGGATCTGCTTCTTGACTTCTTGGTCTTTGACGTCGTACCAGGAAAGAACCTTAACGAAGTGGCCCACTCCTTTCTTGTTGCCTTTGTCACAGGAGAGAAACACTTGCTTCCCTTTCAGTTTGTCGCGCAATTCCATGGTGTTCTCCACTGCCAAATCAAACACCATTTCTCTCAAGTAACTTGAGGATGGAAAGGAATGGGCGAATTTGTCCACCTTTGTCTTCTCTAGCAATCCATAGTCAACCAGGAATGCGGCGACAATTAAGGGAATGATGCTTGCTGCTTGGGACAGTGGAAGACACGGACAACTGGACAGTGCAACAGCAATAAGGGATCTCATCAAAAGAGAACTTCGACCATCAAAGCGGTATCGGTTCATGCCGGAGTGTAGAGATTTCACTTTCTGTTCCACATTCCTCAGACGTTCAAGCTGGTTTCTGTGAATGACAGTGTGGGTATGCGGCAGATCAACTTGGAACTCATGGCCTTGACTGTTCAGCGAAATTGGGGAAACCTCGATTTCTTCTTTTAGCTTTCTCTTCTTCCGTCCATCCACTTTCACAATTTCTGGGGTTGCGATTTCTTTGTCTTCTTCATCCAAAACATCCAAAGCTCGCTTGGTTGTAGAGTGGCCAGTTGAAACAGGGGTGTCGGTCAATCTATCAACACGTAGAACGAACCGAGAGTCAATATAATCTCTCAGCTCTGTGTACCGCTTGATGTTGAATTTCCCTTTCTTGTCTGCTTCGGGATCTTTCTTCCAGGGCTTGCGGCACAAGAAGCGATCTGATGTGTGGGTTGATGATCTTGGTTTTGATTTGGGTGCATTGGAGTCGATGTAGAACACACATCCGGAGCAACAGAACGCCCTATCCAGCGGCCATTCAGTGCAATACGACATCAACCTGGGAGACTTCTGCAGCACGATTTTCTCTGGCGGCGACTCATCATCTTGACTACTGTTGCGGCGACAGGACCGTCTGCTACCACTGGTAACGACTGAGGAACTCTTACTACTCGACACCATGGTTGATGGTTGCTGTCATCGTGGAGTGGTTGAACAGTGCCGACAGCAACACCAGCATTGCCACAACAGCGAAACAACGGAGGCCAATCCGTTCAATCCCCTCATTGGATGCAGATGTTTCGATACTTTAGAAAATGTGAGCGTTTTCGCCTCAAGACGTCACACGTAGAATTTTGTACCAGAAAGAAAGGGACGCACTATTATTTCATGTGATCCCTATGATTTTATGGTTCGGGTTTCGAATTTTCGGTTCATTATTCGAAGAATTTCGAATATAAAAGGGGTGAAATTCAAACTTTCGTTGCTCCATGGAAAAATCTCCCCCCGTGCAACCAAGGCAGACAGGGTTTCATCATACTACAAGGAGACCCAGTCTGACAGCGTTGCATGGGAGAGTGGTTTCCCACCATGCAACTAACCGGCTACTACACCCCTTTTCAAACGGTCAAAATGTGAGTTTAAAAAAATAGCGAGCCAGCCATCTCGGATTGATCGAATCGTGGAGCTGTGTGGGTCCTAGAGTCCTGTGATGACTTTGATGACAGTGAAGAAGACGACGACGACGAGAAGTCCAAGGCAGAATCCAATGACGACGATGTTGAAGAAGCAGGGTTGGCGAAAGTAGCACCAGCCAGCCGTAGCAAGCCAACCCCTAGTATTGTTCGCTTCCGTGTCTCGCCCTGGCGGCCCTAAAGTCCGTCCGTGCCGGTGGGTTTCAACTGGATGAACTCGTCATTCGTGTGGAAGAATCTGCTGACGAAACAAGCATCCTTGATGATGAGACCTGCTGTGTGATTTTTTAGTGGAAGCTGGTAACGCAACCAAGTCCAAACGAGAAAGTCCAGTATTGGATGAGTATTGGATGACTGCCGGTGAACAAAAAAGGCAACAAGGAGAGACAACAAGCCAGTAAGCTTCGCTTGCGTTTGATGGTGTTATCGGCAGTTCAATTTGGTGTGACTTCTGAAAGATAACGCTACTTTTAAAAGCAATACAGTAGCAGCTTCCTACCGGTAGTGGCTATAAGTGTGATCTGTACCTCCAGAGATAGATCTTTGCTTGAAAATGAACTACTAGTACTGGTACTGGTACCGGTACCGGTACGCGTACATGTATCCCGAGCCTCAGCGCCGCGGAGCTGGCTCTTTCTCAAAAAGGTATGCTAGCTAGACCACACGCACCTACTTGTGTTTGATGCTTGACTTTTCCCTTGAAGGCAAATTCTCAGGATTTCGTGCCGTTGTCCAACGTCTCCAGTCAGAATGGTTTAACCGTTGGCGATGCCTCTCCCGCTTGTGGGAATCGACGCATTTACATGTATTGTCGAAAGTTTTTATCGCTGTTCGTCAATTCGGTAGTACCGGTAGCTCGGAGTGGGGATCGAAAATCGAACAACTTGAAAGCATCAACATCTCTCCCAACCCAACCCGAGTTGTCTACCACCAACCAGACTATATCAGCTTGATAACCATGAGGATAGTACGGTCAACATATGTGAGCTTCTTGCTCTTTCTGTCGCTCGCATCGTCAGCCAGAGCTTCGCATGATTCCTATGGGGGTTTTCTCATCGAAGAAATCGAAGAGCAACGTGAGCTAGGTGGTCAATCCTATTGCTATGATAGCTCCGATTGTCCGTCCGACCGCTGGTGTGATAAGTCGAAGAACAAATGCTTCCATAAACGTGAGAATGGTGAGCAATGCAATCGCGACGAAAAATGTCGAAGCGACAACTGCAAAAATGACAAGTGCAAACCCGACTATGACGAGTGCCATTACGATTACGATTGCCCGTACGACTTTGTCTGCCACAATGGCCATTGTGTCTACGATGAAGGATGTTCCAATGACCGAGATTGTCCTTACCAATACTACTGCCACGACGGAGACTGCGTGTACTACGACGGATGTTACGCCGATGGCGATTGTCCGTACGATTACTCCTGTGAACACGGTCAGTGCGTGCGGCGCCATCAGTGCTACCAAAACAGCGACTGCCCTCGAGGCAAGCATTGCATTTCCGGAACCTGCCAGTGGTATCAACATGATTATTGTTCACATGATTACGAGTGCGACCACGGCTACTATTGCAACGAAGGGAATTGCGTTAATCTCTGTTATGACGACGAAGATTGCGGGGACTATTATTGGTGCGATCACGATTACTACGAATGTGTGGAGAGGCTAGGAAATGGCGATCGCTGTGAGTACAACTACGAATGCAGCAGTGGTTGGTGCGATACCTATCAAAATCCCAGTCGATGTCGACGACAAAAACCTAGTGGCTACAGCTGCCATCACAACTACCAATGCCTCAGCGACTTTTGCTACGAGGGAGAATGTACAGACAAACTCTACATTGGGGAGTATTGTGACAGCGATGACGAGTGCCACAGTGGATTCTGTTCCTGTGACTATCCCAACATTTGCACCTATCCTAAGCCAGACGGCGTCTATTGTGATAGAAATTGCGAATGCGAAAGCGACTGGTGTTACCACGGACAAATTTGCAAGAACAAGTATCGGGATGGAGCATACTGCGATTACGGTTTTGAGTGCGACAGTGGTTGGTGTTACGGTGATCGTTGTACGGCCAAACTTGCTCTTGGAGACCCCTGTGTCGAAGATGATCATTGCGACTCAGGTTCTTGTGACAATCACCCCTGCGGCCACTGGCCTGTTGGAGGACATCACTGCGGATCGCACAGGTGTGTGCCAGTGGAGGGAGACTATGGAGACTACTGCACACATGACTACCAATGCAAGTCAGATTCTTGCGTCAACGACATCTGCATTCACTATGCTCATGGAAATCCTGGCAGGCATTATGATACTTATTACGAGCATCGGTAGCTCTGTGCTGCTATCATCATTCAACAGAGGCGAATGCATACCGTACCAGACACCCTGTTCTCCATTGAGGGTAGGCCATTAATAGCTATGGCAGGTATTGCAATTGGATAGGCCCGAATGGACAAGCGGAGGACTAAACATACCTAGTTTCATTTTTCATGTGACAACGCCGTCTTGCGATGTGTTTGCTTCCTCCGAAATATAGGGTTAGGTTAGATTGCATGGCTAATTAAAAAAGCGTGCATCTATGGCACAGGATTCTTTCAAATTCCTACGATGATGAGGTTTTTGGCCCACGATCTCCTGTGTAAGAGCAATCATTGCCAACTGACAGCCTAAAACTGGATCAGCAAATGGCTGAAGGAGATATGCACGTTGACTGGGCTCTCTATTACCGGTACGATCCACGGGGCCTACTGGTAGGACTCTTGCAGCTGAGGGATATCGAGCTTGGTGCAAGGGTAAGAATTTCTTGTAATCTGGCTGAGCTCACGTTTATGGCCACCTGAGCTGATAGCAAACCATCCACGCTCTAGCTAGCGCTTCAAGGCAATCCAATGCAGCATTCCAGCATGAGTTCTGTCTAGTGTCGATGAGTGCTTGTGGGTTGTTTGGTTGTCCACCCGTTGTCCGCCCATGAGGGGACTCACGCTTGCGCCATGCAGCTCTTCGACAACATCCGACTTCAGAGGGCTGAGATTCTTGCGGTTGGACTGGATCGCTTTCTCACGTTGACCAATGATCAATCGAAGGTGACTATTTGGATCTTTGGGCCATGCAAGCTAGGTGACTGTTCCACCAAGCTCGAACGCCAATCGTCACTGCCTTGGTCGTCGCGGCTCTGTTGCTCCCCTGAGGCGGTTGTTGGGTTCACGGATGCCGGCATCGTCTCTGTTGACGGATATGGTTCGCTGGCCATTCGTTTCATACGGTGGAAAGTGATAGCTTTGGGCAGAACCAAAAGTCCCATTGCACTGATGGGGATCGTGAACCAGAAGCTGGCAAGGCCAATGTAATTCGCGGTCGGACTATGCGCGCCGAGAAGAAATATGGTAGGGACACTGGCAAACATAAACTGCAACACACACAATGAGATCGCCGACACCTACATCAAAACGACCGTCAGAGCCAGCGACGAAAGCAATTAACTTACCTGACATTGGACCGCAAGCAAAGTCAAGACCCATTTTGACTCTGTGTGAGTGTCACCGAATTCCTTGGTTTTCAAAGCCATAAAGGCCGAGAGACAAATCGGTATCATGTGCACCGTGTGAAGAGGGACAAGGAAATACAGTGTCTCTCCACTGCAGTACCCCACACTTTCGCCTGATTCCTCGTCCACAACGAAACGAACCCATCCATAGTCACTGTGAATTGTCATGGCTGTCATGATGGCCACGGCGGCCAAAAGGAACAATGCAAAGGGCCACATGACACGCCACAGTGCAATATTGTTTGTCTTCTCCCGCAGGCACCGGTTGGTTCGCCACAACTGTTCGCGACAAGGAAAGGCAACCAAAACGATCCAATTCTTAGAGGTTGTCCATCCATTTTAAAAGACTTCTTTGCAACAAAAATACACGACACAGCACGTACCTTGGTAAAAAGCGCTGAATAGATAACGGTTGTCGCCATGGCATCCAACCACGTCCAAGCAAAGCACATGTGGGTCAGAGCGGCCTGATCCATTCCCCAGCTTTCGTCAAATGCGGCAATCAAAATGGTCAAACCAGAAAGTCCCGATGCAAAACATATCGTGTAGAGAAAGATTGGCTGGGACGCAATCACGGCACTCTCGTCTTGATGGATGAAAACCCATGCCGCCGATACAATGACGGTGACAATAGCAATGACGAACAAGGTCAACCCATATGCTCGAGCTCCTGCTGTAATGTAATTTTGATTTGGAATTGCGCGTAGTAGATTCGGTGGATCCGTAGTTCCGTCTGCGTAATGAAAGGGCTGTATTTGTTCCCACTCTTGCGCAGCAGGATCCCATGTGGCGGTTTGCCTCGCCACCAGATTTTTCTTGTCACTGGCATTATTTTTGCTGTTGTCACGATCCGCCGCATATATCAGATTCAATACGGTAAACGGCACCATCAATCGTGATCCACCCTTGCCGAATTGGACGTGCCCCGATGCACCCCTAAACTCGAGCGACCGTATACTTTCTAGCAGCGCTGGTCCACTGGAGACGGTCTGATTCGTAGATGCCACTCCTTGACATGCCGCCATGCCCACGCTCATGACGGCATCGAACAAAAATCCCATTCCAGGAACAAACGTACGACTCGACGGGGATTCGATTTGGGGTTGTTTGCCGTCACTCGTTCTGGATTCCTCAGGCATCCCGGCAGTATCAGGGACGCTGGACCCAACGAGTAGCTCATCATAATACTGTTCGACTGGATTGCTCGTGATGTACTCGTGCAAATGGTATTCATCGGGAGTCAAATATGCCGCCCCTACCAAAAAGTTCGGTGTCATCATCATGACTGGACTGGCCACCAATAACTCGGGGCTGGACGAAAGTATCCAAAGGTGATTGCCTTGATCGAGTTTTTGTTGAGTGGCAGCACTAGCCAAAAGAGGTACTTCCTCGGGCATGGCCCCTAATAAGACAATGGTTCGAAAACCAGATCTCTGAATTTGTTCCAAAACGGTGGGTATTTGATGTTCGGGTGGACCACAGGTAGTTTGTTGTTCTTGTTGTTGTTTGTGGATCATCATGGCAGGAGGAGGTTGGTAGACAAAGAGTCTGACGTGTTGAAAAACATACTGCTGCAACAATTCCCAGAGTAGTTTTACCTGATGAATGGAGCTGGGTCGGTTGGGATACAGTATGGCAATGTACTTTGTCCGTTGCACATTCCGTAGATACTGAGTAACAAATTTCATTTCCATGGGAACAGTGGCACTGATTTGCGTAAAGAAGGGGTATCTGTCCTGGAGTTGTAGATTGTGGTTATTGTGAGACACCAAGTGAGATACCATCGGTATGCGGTGGGTAGATGCCAGGACACTCCATTCCATGGCTGGAATCTCATAGTAAGGGCCCACAATGGCATCCACCATGGTAGTACTACTAGTATCATCCGATAGATTCCAAGCACTTGTGGTAGAAGTATCCACCACTTGAAGAGTAATACTAGTATTGCAGCCTTCAGGTAGATCTGCCAGTGCCGGAACCAGGGAAGCGTTGCGTGTGTTGAACATTTCCACGGCCAATTGCGCGGCTGCCAATTGGTAGATTCCAATGGAGTTCATCTCCAAGAACGAAGAAGAATCATTCGAGGAGATCTTCGTCGTCAGTGGCAGTGCTACCAGCAACGACAAGGAGCCGTTATTCTCTGGCGTGCTGCCTCCAACGCTGTGAAGCAAGAGGACTGCCACCACCACAGGAAGCAAGAGGCTCCGCCGCCATTCAAAGAGAGGAATCATGTTTCTCTATAACATCACACTTGTATAACTCTTCCCCCTTTTTGCCTTTCTCTGTTGTACGAGTTGTGTTGAGTGTTGTAGCTTTCTTGTGGGTTCTTGCTGTGCCGCGGTTTCGCTGATGCACGTGTGATAAAGCCAGTTGAACCGGTTTACATGCGTCTGTGACGCCCTTTTGAGCCGTGGGAACAAGCTGCTGGTACACCACCTACAGAAGCCAGGGCTGTATAGTTACAAGAGCTATCTAACTCAACTAAATGACTAGCAAGACAAAGGTATCATTGCAGACAGGACATGTGTTTTGGAAGGAGAGCCACCGATCCATGCAAACTTTGTGGCAGTGGTGACCACAATTGTTGGATGTATACACTGGCTGACCGCACTCATACACCTTCCTGCAAATGGGACAGCAAGAGCTATGGCCATACCTGTCCTTGTCTTCATATCCCAGACATGCCTCCTCTTTTAGTTGCAGCTCTAAATCTTCATCCAGTGGTGCTGCTGGTGGTCTATGAGGAGAAGAACTGAAGCAACACGAGAGAGAATCAGAGTCGGAAGCATCCGCCGTCTTTTCTGTTGTGTCGTTGTCTGGAGACCATGGTTTGCACGCCAAGTTGCTCTTCAAGCTTTCCAGAGCTTGTTCTTTCTTGGCTTTGGATGGGCAAAGCAGAACCAATGTTCTGGCTGGTGAGAAACCACACTTATTACTTGCTTACTACATGCATTAGTAAACAATTTGCCAACCTACCTGCTGCCTGTTTTGCTGCCCCCTGCTCTTGTTTTCTGGAACACAGTAAAAGGAATGCTGCAACCAATGCAGCTACCAAAACCACCAAGGCAAACACACCAAGAAAGACAGGCCAGCCAAATCGAATGGAGGGCATATCTTCCTCATTGGGATCATGGATATGGGCCAAAAAGTTGGTTCCATTGAAGCTAGTTTCTTGTGTTGGGGCCATGATTTCTGAAGTAGATATATATTGCATACCGGTAGTTTATGAAAGCTTGTGATGATCCTACGGTTCCATTCCCATGGTTTACTTGCACCTTTCATGCTTCTCCATTGCAAATACATATAGCTAGCAAGCTTGCTTCTTTTGAAAAATCAAATCTAGATATAGCCGAGGCCGGTTAGTCCCACTGCTGAGCAGCATTCAAAGTTCCCATCTCTCTCAGTGCAGCTAAAGAGGTTACTATCTTCCTTGATCCTTTTGAGAGATGAAAAATTTGCTCGAGCTCTGGCTGGTGCATGGAGTTCCACCTCCGTATCGGTAGATGTACCGTGACCGGTACGGTACCGTACCAAAAGCAGTTAGTCTACATGTAGTTGTAAAAGATTGCTTTGGATCTTAATCCACGGATCTCAGTGGAGCCTTTTAATGAGAAGCCGAAGCATCCAGAAGGTTAATTTTACGTTCAAAAGAAACAAACAATAAAATCCTTTTCTGTAGGGACGTCAAGCCTCCCCCTAAGTATCTTTTGAATCTTGCCACGCAGAATTGTGGCTTTGTGGGACTTGATGTGAGATCTGCGAAATCCTTTGAGAAGAGCTCCCTCTCATAAAACCAAAAAGCACAAGCAACCCAAAAGCAAATCATAACGAAGATGACATCAAACAACACTACTACAACTACTCTTGTCGTTGGAGCCACCGGCGCCACAGGAAAATGGTTGGTGAAGCTCTTGTTGGATCAAGGCCACCATGTCCGAGTAATTGCCCGCTCCAAGGATCGCATGGTGAGCGTCCTCCAAGAACTGGACACAGAAGACCAAAAGACATCCACTGACAATCTCACTATCAAAGAAGCTGCCGTGCTGGATCTTTCTGATGCGGAACTCCAAGAACAGGTCAATGGCTGCAATGCTGTCGTCTCTTGCTTGGGCCACACCATGGACTTCAAGGGTATGTATGGCCATCCACGCAAATTGGTCACAGAGGTGGTGCGTCGTTTGACCGACGCCATCAAAGTCACAGCGCCCACTGCCAAGTTTATTCTCATGGGAACCGATGCAGTGGCAAATCCCAACGGACAAGATGATAAGCGAACCTTTGCCGAACGATCCATCATTTTCCTATTGAGGCATCTGCTTCCTCCCCATGCCGACAATGAAGCAGCGGCTGCCTATCTTCACAATACTCTCGGAACCAACAGTGGTGTCGAATGGAGTGTGGTTCGTCCTACGGATCTCATTAATGGATCGCCCACTGAAAAATACCAGCTCTTCGACAAGCCACAGGGGGGATTGATTGGATCGGGCGTCACTACACGCGCTAACGTCGCGCATTGCATGACAGAATTCATCACCAACAACGAAAAATGGAGCGAATACAAGTTCAAAATGCCCGTCATTCTGGATAACGTGACAGCAGAGACAAATTAAATAAAAGGAGAAGATACTATCTGTACAGTGGAGCATAACCGTGGCCGTTCAAGTGCAGGAGAAGCAAAGACGTGTAGTACAAATGTAAAGAGATACTAAATACCAGTGTATGACAGATCGCCATCAGAGGATCCGTTTCTCTGTCCAGTCACTCAGGCTTGTGGGAACCCAGTCTTGTGGGTGGATGCGTATCTCACATTCCAGTGATCTAGCAACTTGAATACAATTACTATGACATACATGTACCGGTAGCTACCGGCAGCTAGTTTGCCATTTTAATTATGAAAATAGGACCTTGAAAACAACCCCGAAACCTTTTCTCCGCTTGAAACTGTCACTGGATCAATGCATACTCGCATACTGCTACTGTTCGAAGCGAGGAAGGAAAGAAAGGCACAGATGGAGCTGAGCGATCAATGTGGTCGAACAGGCAATGAAGGGCAGGTCATTGACTGCAGCTGGTTGGCAGCAGACTTTGACTTATTTCAGACAATCGCATGGATTGAGGAAAAAGCTGCTACAGTAGCTACAAAGGCTTGCGGCAAGTCTGAGTTTGATGTATTGCCTTGGCATTGCTGCTCTACCAGAGTTGACTTGCATCCTTTCATCTTTCCTCATCATCTTATTGATGACTTTGCTGGTTCAAAAACAGAGAGGTGGAAGACAGGACTACATCCTTGCTGATGGCGTCAATGCTATGCCCGAAGAAAGAGTTAGAGCTGACGGTGGCCGAGCCACCGGAGAAACACAAGCAAACAACAACGATATCAGGGCTGGTAATACTAGCAACACTAACCACGGTGGAGGCAACCGCCCAAACAACGAGGACCCCAACGCTGCTGGTGATCTTGGTTTTGATCATGACGTTTATTACGATGCCAATGGTCACGAACGGCTGACATCTTGGCACGAACCTGACAATGGAAGCAACTTCAGTTTCGCTTCCGTGTCAACCATAACCGATGGAAACGCCGAAGTGGAGTATCGGCTATCAAATAAATTTCAAGCGCATGCCCCAAGACAACTACAAACACGAAGTAAGACAACTGTAACACCAAATTCGTCCAAATGCAGTACCAACGGAGCTGTAGCCACCTCCATGACTCCCAGGAGAGCTGTTCCTCGGCGAGTGGAAGTACCCAGACAACAAACCAGACGAAACACAGCTCAACGAGAGCACACTGTTACTGTTCGCAGACCGCCCGCACACTCCATTGCACATCACCCCTTCCAACCTCCAAGTGAAACCCTTTTTCGGCGGGGAAACTTTCCAACTGGAAAGTCCCAGCGCAAGCACTAATGGCAGCAGACGCACCAGCAAAACTTCATGATTCTCCTTCCAAACTACATCCTTCCGCTAACAATAGCCATGCATGGGTGTCAGCAGCACGCTCCTCCACAGGACCTGCTGCTCCTGCTCTTGCTGCAATATCTGCAGAACGCTCTGTCCCAGTCCTTCTTGCTCCTGCTGCAGCTCCTGCACCCCAGCCAGCTCCTGACAATGGAAGCAGCAATGATTCCAGCATCACTTCGGCGTCCAACTCAAAATATGTACCGCCCCAACAAACACCAGAACTTATATGTTATTGACACAAGGCAAGGCCGAACATTTGGTTTGGCTACTGAGGCCGAGGGTTGGCAACAAGGTTCTTGTGCATTATGTGGTACCAGACACAAAACAGGAGGTTGAGCTTCGGGAAGGTGATACAGTACTGGAGGCAACTAAACTAAACAAACCTCATATCACAAAGGCAGCGACAAACAAGAAGCATGGCGGCCAAACACGAAGAAAATGCTGTAACACCAGATTCATCCGTCTGCAATACAGCAGAACCTGGAACCACCTCCAGTCGTCACTTAACCAAACCGGTTCCCACAGCAGTTGCAGTTTCCAGACGACAAACCAGACAACCCATGGTCCAACAGGAACACACCGGTATTATCAATACTCGTAGAGCAGTTCCAGCTCAACGAGCACCAATGGCACCAGCACGTCCTCCACCTCGTGAACCTGCAGCTGTGGTGGGCCAAGAAACAGATTGTCAAGGAAAAACCAAGTTCTTTGTCACTAATAGACATGGAGACCTTGACGGAGAGACTACAGTGGAAGAGAAGCATTCATATGAACTCAAGAAAAATTTGATTGAAAAATACTTGGCAAGCCACAACTTCACTCAGTCTTGGGACATTGTGCCTGGAGAATCTATCCTGACATGCATTGTGGATATTTTAAAAGGGCAAATGTATCCCACGATTTGTAGCGCCCAAAAGGAAACGCAACAATGCTAATGACAACGAAACAGCTTCAGCTGCCAAGAAATTTTGTCGCCAACGTTAGCTCCTCCAAGCAAACAAAAGCCAGGATGATGGATGGTTCCTTGAACCACAAGAACCAACAAGGATCAAGAGTCACCCATGCCAAGGAACAATGATGATTTGATTCTAAAAAGATAAGTAGACGTAGTGATAATAACTTCTAAAAGAACAAGACACATTTTTGGGGAGGAGCCTCCCTCTGCTGGAAGATTTTGAAATTGTGAGCGCAGCCATGCGGCAGGACGCCGGCAAAGTTTAAGTAATTTGGGTAATTAGGACTTGGCGATGCGGGCATCCGTTGGAGTACATTTCCTCATTTTTCCTTCCAACCTCCACCCACACACCCACACCACTTTCGGCTAGCATCGCTGTTTGTTGCCTTTTTCCAGTCAGATAGCTGATACGACGAACGACGATGAGGTTTCAAGGTACGTTCGGTTTGAGCTGTATCTCTTATCACAGCGTCCTTATCAATATCTTTTGTCTAACCACTGTTATCTCGTTCGCTTGATCAGGGACATTTGCTTTTGTCGTGTGTTGGGTAGCATTGCTGGCGGTCGCTGTGGCGGCCGTGGATCGCAGTCTCGACGAGAGGCACAAAGACTTCAACTTTCGACCGGAACCTTCCGACCAAGATCTTCAAGCCAAACGAGATGCCCTTCAAGCCAAACGGGAAGCTCAAAAGAAGGCCAAACAGAACCGTGGAAATGACATCTATCATCCCAGCATTAACGATATTCAAGATCCAGAACTAAGGGGTATCCTCGTGCAACGACGCGAAGAAAAGCTCAAGAGACTTCAGAGAAAGGAAACACACAAGCTAATCAATGAGTTTGTTGCCGCGTCGCGCATGGATATGGCTGAGAAAGAAGACACAGTAGAAGAAAAGAAGAGCAATGGCGAAGAGGAAGACAGTCACCGAAATCTCTTGATCCGTCCTGTTCATGTTCATTGATGATGAACACAGAATACACGACAAAGCAGAATGAACTCCTTTTAGAGTTGACTTTTGTACAGTTCCACCAATCTGCTCTTTTGATTTCTGTGGGTGCAGGTTTGTGTCTTTTAGCTTGTTTGGGCGGTCACTTGCCGATAGTGGTATCTTTTCTAATAAAAGACAATGCATGTCCTGATTATATAGTTGCCGTGGTTATCTTGCTTCCCAGTGTCTCGGGGCAGCAGTCAATTAGATTTGTCCCCACATGCACCATACCACGGATCTAGCCAGGGCAGAATTTTAAAGTTTAACACATCCTAATATTTCTTTCACTGGATAACTATCGTCTTGTCTGTCTCTCTCTAACACTGTTTTTCTTCTTTTTCTGTATGAATTTTCTTGAATCATGCAAAACTGCAAGTGGTGCTCTCCCTCGTTTAGACAGACTTGATCTTTTGGGCACGAATGCTAATGTTGTTGCGCTTCATCAAGGCATATGCTCCAGCACCGGCTGCCACGGCAAGGGGAGCCATGGATGGTCCAAATGTGTTCTCCAACATCATGCTGGTTCCAGTGACAGCCAAAAAGACAACAAACAAGACTGCCTGAACCAAAATGTTTTGGTTGTCGGCCCATTGGGCAAGGTCAATGCCAGCAGCGGCGAATGTGGGGACTCCCTCTTCCGTGTAGCTGACGCTAGAAGAAACTCCCATGGTGAACATGCGGAAGGGAGACATGGCCATGTGGATAAAGTCGTGGATCGAAATGATGGCAAATCCTCCTTGCATGGCAACATATTCCTTGGCGTTTTCTTGGAGAGAAACATAAGAAGATGCAGCAATGCCATTGACCACAACAGTACCACTTGGTGTGAGGGGTGTGTAGACTCCTTGACGCTTGACAGTCTTGATGGACTTGACAGTAGCACCTTGAAGGACATCACCCACATTGACAGAATCGGCACGGACGGGGTTGGTCTTGCCTTCAAGGAAGACAAGGTGGGCACCAGTCATTTCCAAGTCACCATTGAACTGAAGGAACTCAGCCTTTTGGGTGGCATGCTTGTGACCCCAGGCGTAGACAGGTTCAAAAGCTCCATTGGCAGTAAGGACACGGTCTCCGACCTGAAGGTTCTTCATGGTGATGGTGCCGTGGGGGGTTTGGACGGTGGAGACTTCGGAGAAGCAGCTGACATCAGGCACAAATCCGCCAATGAGATCTCCGACGGTCTCTCCAGCATCACCGTCTCCATCAAGATCCAAGGTACAAAGGAAGCAGAACTGCTGATCCAAGTTGAGAAGGGAGGCTGCGTCGCACAATTGGCAAAATCCATCGTAGAATGCATTCAAGTCCTCGAGGGTGGGCAAAGTCATGCCATCAAAGGAAAAAAGTTCCTCCCAAGAGCCGAATTGGGAAAAGTCGATTCTGGCTGCTTCATTGGCCGTGCAACCATGGTTGGTGAGACAACCTCCATTATCGTCAGCAGGGTCGCATGTAGCACGATCAATTCCATCTGTTACACAGGGGTCAGCAAGGACAGCGGGGGCAAGAGCCAATAGAGCAATGATGGGGGAAATCTTCATGATGAGGATGGTGATTTGTAAAGAGTTCTAGTTGGTTTTGGGAGATTGCTTTCCAGATGTGTCGAGCTGTAGATTGTGAGAGCTAGAGGAAACTTTTCTTCTCTCTCTCCGAATGATGACTGGAGCAATGGATCCGTGTCTACCCCACCGGGTCACAATTGCTTCATTTCTTGTTAACTTGACTGCTCGACATCTTCGTTCCTTGTCTTGGCCCCGCTTGTCCCTCCAAAGACGAACATGCAGGTGCAAGCTATAGGCCAGGCAACCCCGATCGAGCTGGCTTTCAGCTCGGAGGCCATGGCACCTTACTGTGCATTTCAAGTTTGGAGGGACTGGACTGGTAACTTTCCCGCGACCAAAAAAACCGGCATCATTTTAAGTATCGACTCCCGCTCTCGCAAATTACTATGAGCCGACAGGAAGCTTTATCTCGGCAAATGTCGCAGCCATCAGGAGCAATAAGGCCTACTCAGTTGCGAATTCATTTGGGGGGATTTCGAGTGGGAGTGGGCTGGCTCGGATCAGTACAGGTCTGCTGTTTGCGGGTTTGTGGTGGATTGCCACTCGTCAGTTTCTAGTTTCGTCATTGCTTGCATCATCGTCCTCACCGGTGGACCATGGCAGTGCCATGGTCGAACCTGTCAGGTCAGCGAGCTAGTCGTGAATTATTGTCGATCCAGCCACCGAGCAAGCTTGAGGGAAATTGGCAAACCTGTCCTTGGACCCAAACCGGTTGACCCAAGCCGATTATCTACATAGCCGCAGTCTGTTGACGTTCAGGACTGCATTGCTTAGTCTAATTACCGAGTCCGTCATTGAACGTTCAGAGTATCATGTTGCTAAAGATTGCGGCATGGGTTTGAAAACGCAGGTTCACGAGACCACATTGAGAACTAACTATTCAAAGCAGGGACACTGGAAACGAAGTGTTCACGACGGAGCCAAAAGCCTAAGCAATGAGTTGAGTTCGTTTCGGAAGCATGTCAACGGTCGATTATTGTGCAAAGTTGGCGAGAGTAGCAAGGATCAAACTTTATGATCTGGACTGAAGCAAAAGCCAAAAGATGGAAGAGGGTACAGAGATGTATATGCATGTTGTGATGAGTTCCGTGCTCCGAAGTCAAAGCTCTGTCCGCAAATCAAATTGCGCTGGAAGGTATAGTTCGTCAAGTCAAGATACTCAACCACCAGCTAGAGAGAGCGAATGGAACTCAGCTGTAAAGCGAGGCCCATGACGTCCCTTGAGAGCGAATGGAACTCAGCTGTAAAGCGATGCCCATGACGTCCCTTGAGATCTCGAGTGGGCACAGTCGAGAGTGAACCAGCGAAGTACGACTGTACTAGCTAGAGTACTAAATTTTTTAAATTTCATGCACATTTAAACATGCTATAGTCGCGAAATTGCATTCTTGCATTAGTGAAAGCAAGACTTATTGATTCGATTCGCGCGAAGCAATGGGCACCCACTGCTCAGCTTCATTGGATCTCTAACCGGTACGTCTCCTAGTAGCTATTAATAGCTACATGTAGTTTCTCTTGGGTGCTTGGGGACACCAACCTAATGCGAAAACCAAGTTGTGGGCGGAAGCAGAACCGAGGTCCAGCCTGTGGTTGCTCGAGGCAGAGATTTTTTCTGAACAGTCTTAGTTTTTAAAGGTCAGTTCTTGTAGAGTTCAAAAACCGAGAGCAGCCTTCTTTACGGCATCCGCCAAGCGTCGACACGGCCGTCTTCCGTTGCTTTACAGCATTTAAAATAAACTTGAGCCTTTGGAAAGGAAGAAAATCGAACCATGCAACGATGGATAGTATCGGTTTTTCTACGACACCTACCGGTAGGTTTTCAAACATCTTGTTTTCATCACCAGGATGATCCATTTTTCAAAATTCTTTACGTATTTATATCTGCTGGGGTAGTTCTTTCAATTGCATAAGATCCTGGATAAAACTATCAATATTATCGACGAATTCGTCGTACATTCTTTCAGTGTGCGGTTGAATGGTATCCCAGCTGGCCTTGGATTTGCAAAATAGGTGCACTCGCACTTGAGCTCCCTTCTCCAGGGAGCTGTCATCAGTATTCGCATCAATCAACCCCATGGGAATCCAGTAATAAGGTGTATTTCGGAGTGGATTTGGTACGGGACAGCCACAAGTTTTGCAAAAGTGAGACGAAAAGCCCGTCTCCCGTTGCCACTTGGTAATGGAGTCTTCACCCGCGAGCCATCGAAAATCACTCGCCTTGACGATCGTTGCAGTGTTGGAGGTCGATCCCGATTGCTTCTGACATAGAGAACAGTGGCATTGATAGAGCCTAGATACATGGGCATCCACCCTGAACGTTACAGCTTTACACAGGCAGCTTCCTTCCATCATCAATCATTTTTGTTGAGGGGTCGCTCAAAAATCCAAGATCCAAGCGATTCATCCGTGAATAAATGTACCAGCGAAGCGGTACGCAAACGTTCCAACTTCCAACTTGAAGAATGATGAATCTTCAAACATACAGTACCGGTACTCAGTACTTTAAAAATACTACGTACTCTAGATAGAGTACTAGCTAGTACTACTACTCGTAGTGCATACTTGCTGTATCCATAGTACTATTAATACATATAATTATGCATGTTAATGTTGTACAGTAGTAGGACAGGGGGTAGAGAGCACTACATACAGCCTGTGCATATGAACAGGATTTTTAGAGAGCCAGCCTGCAGTCAAATTTTGGCCTGGCAGGCGACGCGATTCCTGTGCAAATGAACAGGCGACGCGATTCCTGTGCAATTGAACAGGCGACGCGATTCCTGTGCAATTGAACAGGCGACTGTGCAATTGCACAGGCAATCCGACGTGCTTCCTGTGCAATTGCACAGGAAATCTGACGTGCATGCTGGTTGGAGTCTTCTTCATTTTCAGCAACAACAACAGCAACAGCAACAGCAGCAGCAGCAAGGAAGGACAAGCATAAGCATAAGAACAAGAACAACTGATCCTTCCACTACTGCTACCACTACTTCTACCACTATCATATCTGTCTCTTGCAGTCATTTGTGGCTTGTGGCTTTTGGGTTTGTCACTGAGAGATTTGGATTTCATTTCTCCTGATTTCTTTTTCATTATCTGAGAAGAGGAAAACACAGGAAGTTGCAACCATCTATTCTTTCACTTGAGCATCTAAGGCAGCCACTTCTACAGTCTGAAACAGAATACCTCCATCTGGTCAAGAGAGGAGATTTACTCTCATTTCCTGTACTACTGAACAGGCACCTGTCGCCTGTGCAAACGAACAGGCACCCGTCGCCTGTGCAAACGAACAGGAAGTTTCCTATGCAAACGAACAGGCACCCGTTGCCTGTGCAAACGAACAGGAAGTTTCCTGTGCAAACGAACAGGCACCCGTCGCCTGTGCAAACGAACAGGATTTTTGCCGAGTTTTCATTCAACAATGACTACACCGAGTCAATTTAATGTGGAGTATCTCCCAACAAAGCAGGATATTCATTCAGACGACGAGAATTTGGATGGAAGCAGTAGACTCTTGCCAGAAATTCTGACCACTGCTGTATTCGATGGAAACCATGTGCAATACACGGCTCTTAGCCTTATTCGCGACTCCATCCTAGATAGGGTTTGAGTTCGACTCATGACTGAGTCTCTCGTGAATAGTCATTTGAGACAGGGTTCTCAATGACCGCTCTAGTCATACTAGGTTGATGATGAAACATCGCTCTAGATATTTAGCCAGCGTGGAGTACTTCCACGCTACTAGATCCATGCTAGACAAATCTTCCACGCGTTCCGTTTTAGGATCGTGGAGACACGTAGGATTACTACCGCAACCTACTCTATCACACTTTATAGTCTCCCGCGGGAGACCAGATCTACGATCCCTTGACGATGATCTCTCTCGTTGATTAGTTTTCATAGCTTTCTAATCTCTCTCATAACTTTCATTCTCTCAAACTCAAAACACTCGAAAGATCTTTACACTAGCTTTTAGCGTTGTTAACAAACACAATAGCTTTCAGCTACCCTCAACCTATTCCTTCAGCATGAAGATGGCTCAAGGAAAGCATACGTTCAGCAACTTCGAGAAACAGTTGCGCGACGAACCCATTCTTCCTCTCATCGACAATGACGAAGACACCGAGATCGACGATACTCGTGCAACCACCTGCAAACTTCGCAACCATGTTGCCAAGCGCAAATCAGAAGACTCTGATAACGAGGACAACTCCTCTATCGATTTCAATCACTTGGATGGAGAAATCTCTATCTGAGGATTAGGCCAGTGCAATACACGGCTCTTAGCCTTATTCGCGACTCGATCTTAGATAGGGTTTGAGTTCGACTCATGACTGAGTCTCTCGTGAATAGTCATTGAGACAGGGTTCTCAATGACCGCTAGTCATACTAGGTTGATGATGAACATCGCTCTAGTATTTAGCCAGCGTGGAGTACTTCCACGCTACTAGATAAATGCTAGACGAATCTTCCACGCGTTCCGTTTTTGGATCGTGGAGTGAGTAGGATTGCTACCGCACCTACTCTATCACACTCTACAGTCTCCCGCGGGATTCAGATCTACATCCTTGTGTGGATCTCTCTCGTTGATTAGTTTTCATAGCTTTCTAATCTCTCATAACTTTCATTCTCTCAAACTCAAAACACTCGAAAGATCTTTACACTAGCTTTTAGCGTAGTGCACCAGGATGATGACTCAACGGAATCATGTTCCGATTTCTCATACCAAAGTGATGAAGATATCTCACTAACTAGTAAACAAGAATTGTTTGCAACCGATGAACTCTACGGCAAATTAGATGATTGCCTAGAAGCTGCTCAACTAGACTCTGGTGATCTATTTAGCATCGTTAACCTCGTCCGTGGCCAACCACCTCGTAAACGTCGCAAGACAAGAGACCTCAAACCTATCGTCTATGTTAGATTTAACAAGCGAGAAAAAGGGAAACCAAAACCCGTTACACTCCGTTGCTTGCTGGATACAGGAGCATCCGGAACTTTGATTGCTCAAACTGATGCTAAGAAATTACGCATGAAGGATCTTGGGGGCGTCCAAACCATGTGGACTACCCCTGCAGGAGAATTAAACACCAGCACGAAGTGCAAAGGTGCATTCGTGATTCCTGAATTCCACGATGATAGAATTATCGAATGGGATTTACACGTCACCAAGAGCTTGGGGGCGTATGACATGATCATAGGTCGAGACATACTCTCCGACTTAGGATTTAAGTTCGATTTCACTACCATGTCAGTGGAGTGGGACGGCATATCTATTCCTATGAAAGATAGCGACACCAATGAAGAAGAAAATTTCTTCATTCCTGATCCTACTGCAGTTGATGACAGTGCAATTGAACAGGCGTCGCTATCCTGTTCGATTGCACAGGAAATTGGACGTTTTTGAATTCAGGCCAAAAAAATGGCTGGCCTTGCTCTCAATCTGCGGGCATCCTCCCTGTTCATATGCACAGGCTGTATGTAGTGCTCCCTACCCCCTGTCTAGTGCGGTACCACTGAGAACTAAGAGTACAGAATAATAAGTAATGTGGCGTGTGCATTCAAGCCATTAATTAGAGTAAGCTTCTTTTAGTCCATAAACTTGGAAAAATCTAAGACATTCAGGCTCTTTAGCCTCGTCTCTCTAAGTACTGCTCGTACTGAATACAGAAAGTACTATTGAGTAGTACCACTATGTTTAAATGTAATTATGAAACGTTGCTCCAGCTGTTTCCCCATTTTGATTCATTAAATTTTGCAATCCACCGCTTTTCTCCAACTCGAGGCTCGAAGCCCCACAGCCAAACCCAGTCCACATCCACAGATTTGCCACAACATAATCGTGGTTCGGCCTCGCAGCACAGGGACTACATTTATTCAAACAGCCATCAGCGAACACAAACTGGCAGCCACTTGGAGCATTGAATAGGCTGAGATCACCTCCACAGAACGAGAACGGCCAACCTCTTTTTGAATCGATCTCTATCATGACGAACAAGGCAGATACGAAAGAGCTGATGGGTGAGGAGGAGACAGTGGTGCCTCCGCTCGAAGAGTGCGGAGACGACGAGGAGGGATTCCCGATTGAGGAAAGCGCTGCGAGCCGAAGAAGTAGGGCCTCCACTTACATCCCCTCCATGAGCGGTTTACTGGAGAGCGAAGAGATGAAGGGTCCTTCTGTGGAACCCAATTCGGTTGTGGAGCCTCGATTGAGCCATGTGGACCTGGAAAGTGAGATGGCATCTGCTCCCAAGAGATCTAGGGCTGGATTGGCTGGGAACTCGGCTCCTGTCCGACGACCCCAGAGCACCAGTACAACGACGAGTCAGTTGCCTGCTGGAGACGAGAACAGTCCCACTGGCAAGAGACAATCCACTACGATTCCTGCAACCATTCTAGCAGCACATCCCTCCATTACAGTGCACAGGAAGGGGGAGGACCCAGAAGCTCAATTGGTGGTTCAATCTCGAGAGAACAGTATTGCAACGGTGGTCACCAAGAACCATCCCAGCGATGCTAAAGTGGGTTCCATATTAGAGCCGCGAATGAGTCGTACCGGTACAGTTGGTTTGGGTATCGACGCGATTCTGGACTTGACAGAAACATATCACGATGACAGCAACGATGGCCAGGCCATGTCCATTCTCCGAAGCTCAAGTACAAGTGTAGAAAAGGTACCGGTACGGGTACCAACGCTCACAAGGGCCGAGAAGGAAAACAAAAAGGCTCCCCCCTCGGTTTCTTCCACTGCTCAAGCGGAAGCTTCTCTCCGCAGCTCAGCGACGACGAGTCAAGAAAACATGTCATTCACGAGAACAGAGAAGGACAACAGAAAGGATCCTCCCAGTTCTTCCGCTGCTCCTCCAACGGGTCCTCTTCGACCGCCAACTACTAGGGCAGAGAGAGAAAATAGAAAGGCTGCTCCCTTGGCTTCTTCTGCCACAAAAAAGACAGCTCCCACAACAACCTCTGTGGCCGCAAGATCGAAGAGTGGGGACCCGGACTACGAGCATGTCCATCAAGAACTAAGCCCTACCGATTTGGGAATGATCGTGGCAACCTCCAGCTTTCGTCAAAGCAACGGCAGCACGTCAGAAACGGCGGCGACGGCCGTCGAATCCCAGCCAGGAGCGTTTCGACACGGACCGGGATCCCTCAATCGTGGAAGTTCCGATACCATACTGTACAGCAACGATGGTTCCGTTCTCAAACAACCGTCATGCAAAGGACCGGAATTGGTCACTGCCTTTATTGTGGAGGAGACTGAGCTGGAAGAGGACCTGGAAGCTGTCAAGGCATCTATTCGGAAGGAAGTACAAGAAGAAATGATGCAAGATGTTGTGGAAGCTGACGACATCGAGGTACAAGTGGCGCAAGATGATTTCCAAAATGCACAAGAGGGAGCTGGCAAGAATCACAGGACGATGCTTCTTGCTGGTCTTGGAGTTCTTCTGCTGGTTGTTATCATTTCTGTTGCGGTATCAGTGGGATCCAGGTCGTCGGATCAAACGGGAGAACAAGAAGCGCAGAAGATCTATATCAATGTCAATGTAACCGATGCACCCACGCTCGCCCCAAGCGGCGCTCCAACAGTATACTATGACTTGGGGCTCATTGCAGGATTACCTAATTTCACGTTGGCATCGTTCCAGGATCAAACATCCCCACAATCCTTGGCCTACCGGTGGGTAAGCAAAGATCCAGACCTCTCTTCATACAACAACAGTAGGCGCCTTCAAAGGTTTGCGCTGGCCACGCTCTACTTTGCAACCGAAGGGGAGGAGTGGAACGATCAGAACTGGCTCCATTATGGGACAGAGAAAAATGAGTGCACATGGTTCACAATGGAAGACGACTCTCTGTATCCTGAGTTTTCATCTGAATACGATCTCAATCCTTGTTCCAATGACATGGAGTACGTGTTTCTCACAGCATGGGACAATGGCTTGGGTGGGACTCTCCCACCAGAGTTGAGTCTTTTGACGTAAGTTCGAATTTGGCCACCGAATGGTGCTCACTATCTTTCTTTCAGCTAATCCTACCATGTCTCCGCTTCCCCAGGAAACTCCAAATCATCGACTTGTCAACCGCCACCACAGCTGGCACCATCCCTACAGAGCTTGGGCTTTTAGCGGATCTGCGCCAGCTCTGGATCTCTAGCATGCGGTTGACAGGGACGGTCCCAACAGAATTGTTCTCTTTAACGAAACTGGAGGGTTTGGGGGTGGGTTCAAACCACATCACTGGATGGATTCCCACAGAAGTTGCCCTTCTTACAAACTTGGAGTTTCTTACTTTGTATGAAACGGAGGTGGAGGGGCCAATTCCATCCGAAATTGGAATGCTTTCTCAACTCACCATCGCCTACTTTGATGCCAACCAATTGACGTCAACCATACCCACCGAGTTGGGATTGGCAACATGTGAGTTACCAGTTTTCTGAATACTGTCAAACCATGTTCATGCTTATTCCTGAAAACACGTATCTAACAGTTGCTGTCTGTCACGGATTGTCTTGTTTATTTACAGCTCTCGAATGGTTCTTGGCATATGAAAACCAACTCACTGGCCCAATCCCTTCCGAAGTCGGAAGGCTACCTGTACTCGATGAACTGCACTTTGACTCCAACCTTTTGACATCAAGTCTACCCACAGAGCTGGGATTGGTGGAATGTAAGTTGCCACGGTGCCTGCTAGTAGTCCTATCATCGTTTTGTCTAACACTTGCTGTCTGATCACGGATTCCTACTTAATTGTTTTGTTTACAGCTGTGGGAGTAATCGAGGGTTTTGACAACCAACTCACGGGCCCACTTCCATCAGAACTGGGCCAGTTGCAGCGTTTGGATCGATTGATTTTGTATTCGAATCAGTTGACCTCAACCATCCCAAGGGAACTTCAAGGTGTGCCCTTCCTTTCCGAGTTGATGTTAGATGACAACTTTTTGGAAGGAAACGTGGACAACATGACTTTTGCTAGCCCACTGCTGAAAACTTTCCATATCCAAGAGAACATCATGTTGACCGGAACGATTCCAATGGTGCTCTGCATTCTGGAAGATGGGCTTGAGTTTGATTGTATGCCCGGGCATCTCTGTGGCTGCTCGTCGTGTGATTGTGATTTCTTTAATACTTCTACCACAGCAACATGGAATGTGACTGATGATGACCTGTTCAATTATTCTGCCACCCCCCACCAACATGGAATGTGACTGATGACTTGGCATCTTTATTTGAAACAGTCACAGGAACAACAGGCGAAGTGAATGCTGGTGGTGCGGTGAGGAGATATGATCTATGCACGATATTGGGATGATCTTGTGCAGTGTGATATAAGTGTGACAAGGGCTTTGCTGTTGCAGCCAGAGCATGGTCTCTTAATTATGAGTATAAAGATGGTTGCAGTCTTTCTTTTCTATACATTACGCCATTGAGTTTTTTCCTAGCTGGGGCCAAACCTAGAGAATGGAGACAACACCACCGATATCCAAAGCAGAACCCCAATATGGAAGGTAGACAACGCAATGAGAGTTCAGAAACAACGAAGAGAACAGGCACAGAGGCAACGTCGAAATGGACACTGGAAGACAAAAAAAGACACGAGAAAAGTGAAGGAAGATATATTAGCTAGTTCCGCTACTCAGTAATAATAATACTGCATGCTGTGTAGCTGAAGATTTTATAGTGCTACAGTACAGATTTGCGTTGTTGTTGTTGTCAAAGACGACGAACTTGACCCAACGCCAAGAATCCTGGTTTCAATGTGAGACTTTGTGTGATCCAGTCCATCCACCCCCGTTGTCTCCGCTTGGGCTTGACGGCAGGGGCAAACCCAATGGTCCGGTCGACATAGTTGAAGACGGTGTAGTATTTCCTCATGAAAATGTCACCCAAGATCCAATCAGGATTCAATCCACGAGCAGCAGGACCAATGTTCATTGGAAACATGGCGAATAGGCAGTTGCCATCTTGAACGGGAAACACCAAATCCTCCCCTGGAATCACATAGTCTTTTCCATCAATCCAAAAGGACACATCCGGCACGTGATCCATAGTGGCACAGTCTAGGAAGTAGTTTTGCCCCGTCTCATCAGGAATGGCCCCCACATGAGCCGCAATCTTGTCCACCAGATCGGCGGGTCCGCCAATCAAGGAAGTGCCAGAATCAATGAGGGCACTCATTTTCGGACGGTCCTCGTCGGTAGCATTGCCAAATCCAAACGCCGCAAATCCCTCCGTGACCACCTGATCGAGGGTAACGGACCAACGCCGTGCCGTATTGTCGTGTGGCGGGACGACGTGCAAGTTTCCCACGAATTTGGACGGATCGTAGCCTCCCAAAACGAGTTCGCTGCCTGGCCCTTCAGAGGACAAGTAAAAGGAAAAGATGGGTAGATCAATTTGGTTTTGTTGCAATAAACTTTCGAACAATGGAACAGTGCCATTGGCCGCGAGGTTTGCAAATCCCATTCCGACAATGCCATCAAAATCATAAAAGGCGTAATTGGGACTGGCATTGACGACTTCAATGAATCGTTGTCCTTGGACGGCAATATCTTGCGTCAAGGCCACGTCGTCATAACTAAAGAATCCGACAACAGGTCCCGATCCGTACGAAAGGCCGATCAAGAACATTGGTTCTTCTCGTTGGTAGGTACTGGAGACATCATGGTTGTACGTGTGTTTATTGCCGCCAAAGGTACAATTGACCCACGGCACCCACAAGTCGCTGGACCCAGTGTCGAAAATGACTTTGAAATACTGCATAGGGGTACCAACACCAATAACACCAAAGTACTCCGTGTTGTGTTCATTGCCAAGTGACAAGGCTTCCACGGGTTTCAGGTGTCGCCTCTGTCGACCAACGAGTTGAGACGCAGACGACGGTCGTTTCTGGAGTTGTATCGTCAAGGTCTTCTCGGAACTGCAGCCTAGAAATAGCTGCAAGGCCAGAAGGGCCGCCAGAAACGTGTTGCTGCGAATCATTCCCATGGTACTGAGGTGGCGATGTCTCCAATGCGGTCAATGGTCTGCTTTGTAGTGTCTTCTCGATCCCTCAACTGGCTGATGAAACTGATGGCCTCCACGATTCTCTGGCAAAAAGATCCAATCCACGAATCAATCGAAGATTGCTCAAAAGATATCATTCTGGATCTTTCAGTCTTTTGAATGACGTCATTCACATTTTCAGCCAGCGAGTTGGCTTGCACAGCATTTGTTGTCTTCGGCCAGGACTGTCTTCCTCACCACTTATGTAGTCTATTGTTGTCAGTGCTAGTCTAGAGGTTCAACTTTTACTTGAGGGGCTCAAGAACTATCCCGTCTACCGGTATAATCCCAAGGCAATTGGTTATAAGAATGTATGAAACTTTAAAACTGGGGCAAAAAACACTCTCTAGGCAATGTGGTTTGTCTGTCCTACAAGCAGGCCAAGATGGGAACTTCATCCATTGCTTTTTCTTGTTGATTCCACGGCGGCAGAAATGAAGTCGCGAACCAACGCAGTCTCCGCGCAAGCTAAGAAAGAAGAAATCAATCTTTTATCATCGGCTGTGCCTTGTTTTGTTTATCATGTCAGAGGGGTTGTCTCGCTGGCGACGAGCCGGGATTTGTCTTGTTCTGCTTTGTGGAACATCATAAAGTAATCAATCTTGGTATAGTCGTCAGAAGCCAATATTTCGTCACACAACTTGTTCTCCGCCGCCGCACACGACATGGCCGCCACGATGCTGGCGACAAAAATGACAATGATCACATTGCCCACACGAGTGGGCAAGAAAACGGCTGCACGGCAGCATTCCTGAAGTATGAGACTCATCATGGAAATCAAAAAGGCTACTCGAGCGGCTCGTTTGCGCGCTGCGGTGGATGGATGGCACAGAAATGTCATGGCTGCCTGAGGTTCAATGCGCAACGAAAAGAGCGTGGTGGCACGGATCAAACCGGATACCCAAATAATGGTGGAAATGAGCGACGTTCCGGTGGAAATGGCACCAAACAAGATCCCCGCCACTTCGAGGTAGGAAGGAGTATCGGAAAGATCCGCCACATCTTGATGGAACATGGGCAATGCCATGGTAAAGACGAGTCCTGTCACCACAGGAGTGTACTCGTATGGGACGAGAAAGGAATGGGCACGTCCTTCCAAGGTGCCCACGGCATCAATCTTGGAGTCTTGCTCCGACTCGGTGGAACAAGTCTTGGCTGTCATGGCTGAAAGCTTCTATCGTACAGGGAAAGGAGTGCGGTAAGAACCTGATTGTGGTGTTTAAATGGTACCTGGTCATGCACTAGCTCGCTATAGAAGTTTGTCGGCAGCTGGCTGGTTGCGTGGGAGACAGCTATGCTGGTACAGTTTTTTTGTTGGATGTGGCAAAAGATCCAAAATCATCCCAGTCCGTAACACAACGTCATACGTGACTGAATCAGAAGATCCAGATCCATTTTCACACCATCCACACAAACCAACAAAGTCCCCTCTCTCAGCATAATATCGCTAGCTAGTGGTGGACACACCAATTGAGCTTGGCCTCTTTTTGAAGGGATACTGCCTTGGAAATTCGTGAAAAGTGCCACGAAATATCTACTAGCTAGTAAAGATTACTGAGCACAACGGATACCGTACCCTGACCTAGAAAAATGAGAGCCATATCGTTTCGGAACAGCAGGAGGATACTTGCACTATCTACTAGGCCTCACCAAAGGACAGATCCAGCTTCTTCTTCTAGTGTCATCAGAACTACTTTCAGCTTGAGTGACCTGGGAGCATCCAACAAACTACATTCAATAAAATTTAATGCAGTGCATGCTGAGAGGGTAGCATTGAACGAGCCGATAAGAACAAGACGGTTTGTCTCCAAAGCCAACCAAAAAGCACCGGAACATCATTCAAAAGAACTTCAAGATCTTTCGGATCACCTTGCGCAGTTACAAGAAGCTCCTATTGGGTCACTCTCGATAGACAAATTCCACAAGGCAGCGGACTTGATTCGTCAAGTCAAAGCAAAGCACTCCAGTAATCTTGTTCTTGTGGACACGTCTTTTCAAATACTCGAGCGACTCGTCCAAGAAATACAACAAGCCAAAGGCAAACGAAAGAGATATCTGAATCACCAAAATACCCACAGGATTCTAGACACGACATTGCTGCAGACAGTGATCCTTAAACATTGGGCAAAGACGAATCATCCTCACAAAGCGACCAAAACCAAAGAACGAGGGAATGGTAAAACCATTCTGGACATGATCCACAGTTGGAACAAACGAGCACCAGGACATTTGCAACCGGATATTGCAATCTACAACACCGCTCTGGAATCCTATCTTCTGGACTCATCATCATCCAAGTATTCCAAAACAAAAAAGAAGCTATCCGACAATTTTCCAATCAAGGTCGCAAAGTTTATTCAAGGCGTGTACCAACAATTACTACTCAAAAACAACAACAATGCATATCCCAACCAAAAGACTCACGAACTAGTCATTCAAGCATGGATTGCGGCCAAGGATGTCAACTCTGCCACGGCAGTTCTCACGGGGATTCGAAACAACCACGAGCTGCAACCGCAAACAACAAGCAACAATATTCGATTTGGAAAGGAAATTTTTGAACAACTGCTAAAAGAATGTGTCGACGAAAAAGCAGGACAAATGGCGGATAGTGTGTTGGATCATATACACTATTTTCATGACCATGGACTGCTGGCCGTTCGACCCTTGATGGAACACTACACGCAAGTCATACAAGCATGGGCAGTTTCATCTCATCGTCATCACCCACAGGCACAACGCCGCCTTCAGGAACTCACCGATTTCGTCCTGAACGATTACAACAATAATCACAATCATCAACTACAACCACCCGATATCCTCACGTTTCACGTGATTTTGCAAGGATTCGCTCGATTGGGAGATCTCGAATCGGCCGAAGATATCCTGGGACAGCTCTGTGCCCGATATCGACAACAAGATTCCACTCGTTCGTCTGTCGTCGTTGTCGTCAAACCCGACGTCGAATGCTTTGGTACCGTCCTCGACGGATGGTCGCGCGTCAAGAATCGACCCGATGCCGGTACACGGGCCGAAGCCTTACTCCGGCTCATGTGGGACAGTCATCAAATGGTACCCTCCATGCAACATTTGGTTCCAGACGTGAGCTGCTACAACTCGGTCATGCATGCTTACATTAATGCGACCAACTACAATGCCGCCGGAGAAGCCGAACGACTCTTTCAGGAACTCCAGCACAAGTCGACGGAAGAAGCATACGCACATTTGCAACCCACCACGGAAACATACGGGACACTCATTCATGCGTGGGCTCAACATGGCAACGTCGATCAAGCGGCCAAAATTCTGGCATTCATGTGCGATACAACTACCAATGATACCGCCGCCATGCCCGACGCACAGTGTTTCAACAGCGTCATGAATGCCCATGCCAAGTCCAAGGCTATCGTCGCGGGCAAGGAAGCCAACCGTCTCTTGGAAAAAATGTGGGAGTTGCATCGCGACGATCGGTTTCCAGCGGCGGCTCACATTCGACCCAACAACATCACCTACGGAAGTGTCATTCATGCCTGGGCGCAATCGGGTCATGCCGATGCGGGCGAAAAAGCGGAACGGTTGTTGCGAGAAATGGCGGACATGGCCAAAGCGTTGGACGACGACAGTTTGATGCCGACCACCAGAACGTACAACTCCGTCATTCATGCTTGGGGTAGCTGTGGAGACTACGATCGAGCGAGGGCAGTCTTTCAGGAACTGCCATCCAAGCCTTCCAACAACACGTCGGTTTGCCGAAACGTTGGCACGTACAACTCTCTCCTGTTGGCCCTAGCAACAGCCGATGAGTACCATCACGACGCGAGGTTGCACAAGGGAGAAATTGCGGACTCGATCCTAACCGCCATGCAAGTGAGAGGTGTCAAGCCTAAAATTCAAACGTACGGCTTGGCTCACAAGTGTTGGTTCCAATCATCTGCCGACTTTAAAAAAGCCAGCTTTCGCCTGCAATCGTTAAAGAGCAAAACCGAGGAATTGGAGCGCGAAGAAAGGGAAATGCCCCACTCTCGCTACGGAAGCTAGCTGCACGAAGTGGTACTGGTACGCACAAAATGGCCCCAATGGCTCTTCTACATTCCGTTGCCTCAGGCCCCGCCTTCCTTTAGGGCAAAGCTTTTGCCGGCCGTGCTGGACCAACATCTAACACGCGAAGTGTTTAGCTATGGTAGACTTGCTAGCTATTTAAAACTAAATGATGGTTCACTTCAAAATTTCCAGATGTCCAAATACAGCAGCATCTCCACATGTATGTTCAGGCCATGGACAACCATTTACATGAGCCCACTTCAAAATTTCCAAATGACCCTCTCGAGTGGCAGAGGAACACGCCCACGCACCCCATGGGCATACATTTGCATGAGCCCACTTCAGCAATTCCAAGTGTCCATTTCGAGCAGCATATTCACATGTATCCTCATCCCATGGACAACCCTTTGCATGCAACCACTTTAAAACTTCCAAATGGCATTTCTCAGCAGCATAGGCACATGTCCACTCATCCCATTCACAACCGTTGTCATGTGCCCACTTTAGAAAATCCAAATTACCATTTCGAGCGCCGGCTTGGCATGTCTGTTCATCCCATGGACACTCCTTTTCACGAGCCCACTTCAAAATTTCCAAATGTCCACCTATAGCAGCATATTCACATGTCCTTTCTGTATCCCACGGACAACCATTTTCACGAGCCCACTTCAAGACTTCCAAGTGTCCACATCGAGCAGCCCTTGAGCATGTATTTTCATCCCATGGACAACCGTCTGCACGAGCCCACTTCAGAATTTCCAAATGTCCAGCTAAAGCAGCCCAAGAACATGTACTTTCATCCCATGGACAACCAATTGCACGAGCCCACTTTATCATTTCCAAATGTCCATATCCAGCAGCACAAGCAGATGTATTTGCATTCCATGGACAACCATTTGCGTGCAACCACTTTAGAATTGTGAGCTGGCCAAATCTAGCAGCTCCTCCACATATATGGGCACCACAAGGACAGATCACACTAAGCCCGATAGCTAGCTACGGTAGGAAGAAACATGAGCTTGTCTACTTTTGATTCATTTCCCAACCTTCCCATGAATGATGCCACAGTAGTGCCCTTACTCATCTTCATTTTCATCATGGGACCCAGGGCAGCCATTGTCGCGTAGCCACAGAATCACTTCATTTTTGTTTCTGCTGAAGCTCGTTTTAGCATACTGCCATGTACGTTGATTCCATGGACACCCATTTTCACGAGCCCACTTTAGAGTTTCCAAATGTCCATTTCTAGCAGCATGATAACACGTGGACAACCATTTGCACAAGCCCACTTTAGAATTTCCAAATGTCCATTTGCGGCAGCATAGGCACATGTCCTATCATTCCATGGACACCCATTGGCACGAGCCCACTTTAAAATTTCCAAGTGTCTTTGTCGAACAGCACCATCACATATACATTCATTCCGTGGACAACCGTTTGCAAGAGCCCACTTTAGAATTTCCAAATGTCCATTTTCAGCAGCATAGAGACATGTCCACACATTCCATGGACAACCGTTTGCACGAGCCCACTTCAGAATTTCCAAATTGCCGTTCTCAGCAGCATAGGCACATGTCTTTTCACTCCATGGACAACCGTTCACCCTTAAAAATTTGAGCACTTCCAAGTGACCACTTTTAGCAGCACTCTCACACGTCGACTCATTCCATGGGAATCTGTTTTGTCGCGCCCACTTCATGACAGCAATATTTCCAATTCTGGCAAATGCATTGCAAACATTGCGATGCTTTGGTTTCTTATGGGAGGAATTGTCCCTGAGCCAGTATTCTGCGCGAGTCTGGTTGCAGAATGTTTCACTGCAAAGAGTATCAGTGGGTTTTGCAGAGCGCTTGTAAGGATACTCTCGAGGGTTATTCTTAACCTTTCTTGGATTTTTCTTTAGTTCAACTTTGCAGTACTCTTTGTACAGCTGGTTCATCTTTTTGTTGACAGCTCCTACAAAAGCGCACTGTCCAACACCAACAAAAGGAAGAATGCCTTGGATCAAAAGGTCATCGTCGGCAAACAGAAGAGATTCGAGGGGAGGAGACGGCTTCTGTTTCTTTTTGTTACTGTTGTTAGCACTGTTGCCGATGGCATTGGCAGCAGCAGCATTCATGGTGCGGTCAAATAGCAGTGGCTGCTCTGGTTGTGGCTTCGTGAGTTTTAGATTTGCAACAAGCGGGTCAATTGGAGTGATCATCATTTTACGCTTCCCTGCTGAGGGAGGAGTTGCGTGAATTTGGTGCCATTTCTCTGGTGCAGTGCTCCTGGTGGAGAATGGCACCTTCCACGTTAGTTGAAGTTGTTAAGTCCTGAGAGCTCTTGTGTGGCAACCTAGTGTTCTTCAATGATTTAACGGTGACCTAGTGGCTATTATCTCGTGTAACCAGTGAGCGAAATAAGACTTAGTGAACTATCCACCGCGTAACCAGTGAGCGAAATAAGACTTAGAGCCATGTACAGGCATGACTGAGCCAAACTCCACGTTCTCAGCTTCATTTCTCTCACTTTTTCATCAGGCATGATGTTGAAACCATCCAATTTCTTAGCCATCTTTGCTGACCATATACCAACTTCTGAAGGTAGTCTTGACCATACCCACTTACTATAACCACTATAGAACAGCATCTAAACTAGTCCTGGTTTTCTACTGCTGCTATTGGCTGTGCAGCTTAGTGTTTAACTGGCAACTTTGGAATCTTGCCAAAAATGCTCTTGAGCATCTCTGTGTCAGCCAGGAGCCACACAACCAGTCTGAAACCACCAGAATTGATCAGATTCATCCATAGCTCGTTCTGGCACATCCACCCATGCCAGAGACCATTTCTGGCTCTCATAAATTCAAAATCAGAGTGTGAAAAACACCCTTTGAATTTGCTCTACAACCTGGTTCTAGAATTATTTCTGGAGTCCTTCTGCTACCTTTTGAATCAGCCCTTCTTTGTTTTCCCAATCTTTTGCAACTATGGATGCTTCCAATGATCCCAAACCTACTGACCATGGCAAGTGGCCTTATGGTGGTGATGACTACCACTTCCTTTTTGGAGAAATCCCCAAGCCACCTACTCCTGGATACAAGACTGGAGATCCTTCCACTCCTGAAATGCCCGGTGCTCATGCCAATGTTTGCTCTTCTACCAAGGAAGCTGCTGACAATAATACTGGTACCATGGTTCCTCCCAGTCCAACTACCATTGACATTCCCAACAACCTTGCCCAACTTTTGGGTATGGCTTACCAGCAAATTTTGGATTCCACCCTTGTTCTTGCTTTGGTGATGACAGGAGCTGTCCCCACCAACCCTATTACTATGAGACCCATCAACAATTTGCAGACTTTGTTTTCTGGCTGGAAACCTAGTGCTGCCACTGCTCCTCCTGCTGGAGGTGGTGGGGCTCTCACTCCCTCTTTTGAAATGCCTACCCCCTGTGCTTCCAATGGGAACAACAACCAGCATCCAACTAACTCTCCAACAGATAATCCACCAAAGACATCTTCTTCCAACAAAGATGATATCACCAACAATGAGTCTCATCCTTCTGATCCCATTAATCATCATTGGCCTCAAGGAAATGTCATGTATTGCACCAGTAATGATTCTGTCTTCCTTGGGTGGGCTACCATTGTTCGCAATAAACATACCTTGAAAGATGGAGGAATGAAAGTCTACAAAGCATGTATTGGAGTCCATGTCTGCCAGAATGATGGCTGTAACTTTGTTGCCCGCCCCACTTCTCATGACAACAAAAAGAATCTCAGTGATTACATTCCCAAAGCTTTCATCTATAGGTGTCCCAACCATCCTGATAGTGACCTTAAATGGATAGCCTGCACTGGGAGAATTGGAAAGCATGAGAAAGCTGAGCCATGCCGAATCAATTTGACATCATACAAATCTGGAAAGGTTCACTGGGAATGAAAAACTCTGCAGAAATGCCCTTTTTGAGTCCGTAGAAACACTTTTTTTCCTGAAGCAGGCTGGCGTGCACTCTGCAGAAGCCCTCGAACTCTGCAGTTCCGAAAGCCGGCATGGCTTTTTCTGCCGGGAGGTGTTTTTTTTCTGCCGGGAGGTGTTTTTTTTCTGCCGGGAGGGTGTTTGTCTCTGGCAGATGACTTTTTTTCTGCCAAAAGCACCTGGAAACTGCACAGAATGGCTCGCAGAGTCGATTCATTGTTTGGCAGAAGGATTTTCTGGAGCAATTATCGTTTGCAGCTTGACAATTACTTAGAGATGGATACCAGGCAGGCGTGACGAAACTAGCAGCAAATAAATAGCCAGTCTCTTTTTGAAATCTCAAGGCTGCGATGACATCATTGACATTTAATGCCACGGCACACTTTGGACCTAAGCCCTAACGTCTCTCCTGCAAAACGAGAACCCCCATTAACTGTCTCATTAACCCAGACTCTAAAACGAGACCCCATTATAATGTCGAGGAATACATTAACCCACACTCTAAATCAAATCGAATTCGAACCTATTCGATTAAGGATGTCCCACGGGGTGTTTTCTTAAAAGTGTGAAACATGCACCGTTTACTAGCATTATCACGACAAGAAAAGTGAGAAAACTCCATTGTGAGGCTAGCTTAGACCGATTGCCGTTCCTCGAAAAGCACATCGCATGTCCATGTTGTTATATTCCATCTTATAGAGTAGATAATGCTCTATCTCTGTGAGGTGAAAGAAACATAAAATGTGTTGTTGTGTGTTCACAACAGTAACTGCCGTCGGTCAATGAAAAACTGCCAAACCAATGGATATCGCTGTTGTGGCATTGACTTTGCTCAATAGTGGCCAATATTTTATTTTTCTTTCTTCGGCACGTGATGCCCCGTACTCAACAATGTATGTGACTTGTATCATGTCATTGAGAGTGGCATGCCGATTCGTTCTCCATGGTCGGAGGGTCAAGGTAGCTTGTTGTTGTGTTGGAATAGTGAGCGGCCGAAACTGTTATCTCCCATCGTCAGAAAGATATCGAAATCAGCGTGGGTATGCACGCTCGAAAAGGAATCACGCTGAACTGAAAAAAGAAAGAACCGAAAAGATCAGCCTCATTGTGAAACTGTTTTGCGCCATTTCGCCGTTGTGTACTTACAAGCTTTCACCATGAACCGCGCTACCAGAGTTGAGTACTATGATGAAGGCTGCCTTGATTTTGCTACTGATCTTGCTTGATGAGTATTGTTGCTCTTCCCAAGTTCCTGCCAATGGGTGGTGGCTTTGGCGACGGAGTGACAGTGAAGCCTGACGCAAAGTATTGGTGAAAGGAGAAGGGTTGAAGTCACCTGCCGTCGAAGAGACTGAATCTGCCCTGCTTTTACTGTGGTTGAGGCAAAGAAAGTGTCTCGTGAGTACAAGACCCACGACATGTCAGCACTGTGTTGTCTTACAATCTTGTGTTGATGGATGAAGTGGTACCATGTTCAAGCCACGGTTAACAGTGGCCTGTCCACTATTTCGCTGCATACAACTCTACGTTGGATCGACTGTCTTGTAGTTGACTATGCCATCATCACCAGACATCCAACCGCAGCTACACGTACAGATGTACATGCTCATCAAGGACTTCCAGTGGAAGCTTCCCCCAACAAGAAGGTCATTGATCTCTTCCCATCATCATGCGTGACGTTGTTCCAGCCACAGGGCATATCTACCGCGCACCGGTAGTTGAGAAGATGATTGACGCAAAGGCCATTCGGGCAGTGTCGAGGTTGGGAGCAGTGGTTCAACTTGAAGAGAAGAGTACTTCGATTGATGATATGAGTCGATCCACTGTCTAATGAAGGCGCCTGACAAAGGCCTTACTTCCACGGAAACTGATCCAGCATGAACTCAGCCGTAGCGTTGGAGGGAGCAGATGAACTTCGACCTGATGAAGTCTCGTGGATGCGACATGCGGGAGAATCTTCTGAATACGTTCGATCTGTATGATGAAGAGGAAAACAAGCGTGGAAGTTACTTCATTGTGACACAGCCAGCGATTGGAGAAGAGGGACATCACAACAGTTGCCAGTGCTGTTCTGAGTATGGATTCATCCAGTGCATTCTTCTTACCTGCCTCTTGAGGATGTGGACGTGAACGACTTGTATCTCTCTGTTTCCAGCAGGTTGAACGGAGAGCTGGATGGTGACTCATTCGATGACTTGGCGCCCAACCACAAGAGATGGTGCTTCTACTGGTACTACGCGTCAATGGGTACAAGTTCATCAACGGCCGCAAGCAGTGGCCAACCTGTTCCGTAAAGGCCGTTCGCTCATTGTATCCAAATCCAAAAGGTGTTCGTTACAGTACATTCATGCCGGCTGACCCAAAGAAGGTGGTTGAGGAGAAAAGTGTCATGAGCTACTGTGCAAAGGCTACGGAAGGAGGTGTCAAGCGCAAGTCGATGGATTTATGGGAAGACTAGTGGCTGTTGCTCCTAGCTCCACCAGTCGCTACTAGCTCCAACAGTTGCAAGCCCACCGTTGTTCCTCTCTCAACCTGCTAACGGTCCAATCAGCGACTTCTCGGAACCTATGAGCTACTTATCGGAACGATGGGTTCTTCAAAGGAAACTTCCATCTTACCCTTATATTGTGTTTGTGTATTTGTCGAAAAAGAACACTGGTTTTCACTACCAACGAAGGTTAGCTATTGATAACGCTAGACTTTCTATACTATTTTAGTACATCGTCGTACCCAATAGCTAC